GTTCAGCGCGGCTAAGATTGTGTGTCGCTTGTTGTCGTTTGCGAATAATGTCAGTCTGTGCGTTGTTGCGGAAGCTGTGTATATAGAAATCCAGATTGTAATTCCGACCGTCAGGGGGAGTCCATATAGAATTATTTTTCCTTTGGTGTTGGTAGGGGGGATCTGGTAGGTCAGATTGATGTTCAGTGGTGGTTTGGAAATATTCTCGGAGACGGAGGCGGCGAAAAAAAGCCTCAAGGTCACCACAAAATTGTATCCAGTTTGTGGGGGACGTGGGGCAGAAAGAGAGACCCCGGGACAAGACAGACTCTTCTGCTGGATTGAGTTTGTAGCTGGAGAGGTTAACAATATTATCCGGTGGGTTGAGGCAGTTGCTGTTGTAGCCAGTGGTATGGAGCAGGTTAGAAAATTTATTGTCTTTTCTTTGTTGTAGGGAATAGAAGTGTGTATAGTAGATTTCTTGTCTGGTGGAACAAAAGTCTTGCAAGGTGTCAGTCGGTGTGGATGTTTGTCTTGAGATGAGACGATCTAAGTTAGAAATGTCATTCTTGATGGTTTTCTGTTTCTTGTATAAAATACTTATCAGGTGGTTTCTTAATTTCTTGGATAGTGTGAGGCAGAGTCTTTCACTGTAGTCAGTGAAGTATGTTGATCTTAGTGGATTGTTCACTTTCAGTCCTTTGGGTACGATGTCCATTTTCTTGCACTTGGATAGAAAGATGATGTCTGTCTGTATCTGTGCGAGTTTCTTCATATGGTTGATGGATTTCCATTCCAAACGGCTAAATGTAGTGCCTTGCATGTAGAATAGTGATAGAAATGTAGCCGTGTTAGTCTGGGGTAGTTGAAGCAAAATGCAGGACAATGTAGCACTTTAAAGACTAACAAGATGGTTTATTAGATGATGAGCTTTCGTGGGCCAGACCCACTTCCTCAGATCAAATAGTGGAAGAAAGTAGTCACAACCATATATACCAAAGGATACAATTTAAAAAAATGAACAAATATGAAAAGGACAAATCACATTGCAGAACAGAAGGAGGAGGCGGGGGGGTGGGAAGGGGGAGGAAGGAAGGTAAGTGTCTGTGAATTGCTGATATTAAAGGTAGGGAGAGTGGGATGTTTGTGAGTTAATGGTATTACAGGTGATAATTGGGGAAACTGTCTTGATAATGGGTGAGAAAGTTCAAAGACTTGTTAAGTCCCTGGTGGTAAGTGTCGAATTTTAACATGAATGACAGTTCAGAGGATTCCCTTTCAAGTGCAGATGTAAAAGGTCTTTGTAGCAGAATGCAGGTGGCTAAGTCATTTAGAGAGTGTCCTTTCTGGTTAAAGTGGCAAGAAACTGTTTTCTCTTTTCTGTTAAACTGAAGCCTTATCTGACTCATCTCACTACAGTCGAAGGATTTCCACTGCAGGAGTAAGAATTATAGCATTAGGTCCTACCCAGACAACCTGAGAAGTTCTGAGCATCGCCTGTGAGTTGTGGATCGCCCTCCACTCACACTGCCTTGTAGGAAGGAGGCACTCATCATCTCGCAAGGCAAAATTGGAGGAGGCACTCATCTGACTCAAGCAAGGTAAAATTGTTCTGACATATCTATGGTTGGTTGAGTCTGACGCTACAATGCATTCTCAACTTTTCAGGTAGAAATCACAGCATGTATGTTGTGAAATGCACTTTCCCCCCCTGCAGATATGGTTTCCTTTCCAAGACACAGAAACTAATGTGTGATGAACCAGCACCCTGCAAAATTTCATTTGAAAATAAGGAAGCCACTATAACCCAGAGGAGCTACCCAGCCATAACTCTGACATCATAAAATCCAACATCATTTTTTGTAGTGGGGAGCCTCTGGGTACTGCTAACTAGCTTTCCCGTTCTAACTCTGTGGTGAGTGAAACGCTCCATATGTATTTTTTCCCTGCCACGTTGGGATATCATGACACTGAATTGTTTCTTGTAAAACTCTTTGGGTTCCTTGGATGAAAGACACCATCAAAGGGCATGGTGGTATTTTTTTTAATGCAGGGGTAAGATCTTGACACACAGAGCCAAGTACTCCTTTCATTTACTCACATTGATGTGCTCCGGAACTGAAAGGAAAATTTGACTCCAAGATCCAACCCCTAGTAAATCTGTATAAAACCTTTGTAAGTCCTTGAAAATGGACTGATAATGGGAAAGACTGAAATTTTTCTCATTCTACAATGACAAATCACAGCTTTTAAAATGTGGCATACGTCAGGTACAGCTCCCTTCTTACGCTTCTGTAAGGCATTTGACTCGGTACCATATAATATTTTGATTAAAAACCTAGAATGATGCAAAATGAGTATCACATAGATTGAAAGCTGGCTAACTGATAGGTCTCACAATATAATTGTGAATAGGGAATTATCATTTAATTGGTGTGTTTCTAGTTTTCTTCAGAGACTGATTCTTGGCCCCACATATTTAAGATTTTTAATAAAGATCTGGGAAAAAAACATATAAGCATCACTGATAAAGTTTAAGACTGATACAAAAATTGGCTTGATAAACAATGAAGATACAGTGTGATCTGAATCGCTTTGTAATCTGAGTGCAATTTTTATATGGGTAAATGTTTACATCTAAAAAGAATGAATATAGCCAAACTTACAGGATCTTGGACTCGATCCTAGGAAATGGTGACTCTGAAAATGATATCAGCATTCACCATGCATAATCAGCTGAGTATGTGCTCCCAGTAAAATGCTGGTCAAATGGGCTAACGTGATCCTGGAATGCATAAACAGGGGTGAAATGATTAAGTGTACAGAGGTTATTTTACCTCTGTATTTGGCACTGGTTGACTGCTGCTATAATACTTCCACTAATTCTGTTGTCCACATGTCAAGAAGGATGATGATAAATCGGAGATGGTTCAGAGAAGAGTCATAAAAATGATTAAAGGATTAGAAAACATGCCAATAACAATTAGACTCAAAGGACTCAATCAATTTTGCTTAACACAAAGAAGGTTAAGGGATGACTTAAATTACAATCTATAAGTACCTACGTGGGGAACAAATATTTGAGAAAGGGTCGTTAGTCTAGTAGAGAAAGGTATAACATGATCCAGTGGCTAGAAATGGAAGTTAGAAAAATTCAGATTGGAAATCAGGCATAATTTTTTTAACAGTGAGAGTAGTTAATCCCATTGGAACAATTTACCAAGATCATAGTGGATTCTGCATCATCACAAAGACTGTTTTGTAAAAGAGTTCCTCTATGTATTATTCTGGGGAAGCTCTATGACCTGTAGGAGGTCAGACCAGATAATCACAATGGTCTCTTCTGGACTTGAAATCTATGAAGGGGTCTTGTTTGGGCATAATACCTATTACATTCATACTTTCAAATGGCCTTGTCTGTGCAGTCCATAACAATCTATTTGTGCAACGACTCCTGTAGAAAGAAGAGATTGACTTTAGATTTTAAGTTGGACTCTAGCTACAATTTTATTAATTGTAATATGGTAGTATCTGGAGTCCACAGCTAAGATCAGGGACCCATTATGCAGGGTGCTATACAAATATATGGCGAGAGAACAACCTTGTTCCAAAGGGGTTATAATTTAAGATCCCAATCTCATAAACAATTTACACCCAATTTATCTTTATTCCTGAGAATAACCCCATTTAAGTTATTAGTACAGCTCACATATACAAGGTTACAGTCTTTGTAGGATGGGAACACATAGACCAGACAGGACAGGAAAAACAAAAAACAACAAATAGTCTGGTAGTACTTTAAAAACTAACAAAACACGTAGATGGTATCATGAGCTTTTGTGGGCACAATTTATGATACCCACGAAAAGCTCATGATACCATCTATGTGTTTTGTTAGTCTTTAAAGTGCTACCAGACTATTTGTTGTTGTTAAAGTTTACCCTGTACAGACTAACTTGGCTACCCCCTGAAGCTTTCGAGGATGAGAAAAGGTCATAGTATTATCCTCATTTTGCAGGCAAGGAACTGAACACATGAAGGTTACAGTGATGCATGCTCTTAACATTACTTGTGTGTTTAATTCCATTGAATCTATAGGGCCCTGGATTGAAATTTAGGAGCTAGGGGTTCATTACCCAACTCTGCCATATATTTGATGCATGACATTGGACCAAGCACGTAAGTTCTAATCCTGCAAACATTTGATGCATGTGTTTATCTGAACAGTAGCCATGTTTTTACAGTTCGATCCATCAGGCTGTTAGAGTAAGGGCCAACCTTCCTTTCTAACCTTAACTGTGGCAACTAAGGCAGCCTTTGAATTGGTAATGTGTGCTAGCCCACCCGTGTAAATTACTGCAGGGCAGTAAAATAACACCTCATTGGAGACTCTGGTGAACATACAACATACATTTTGATTTATGTCCATATTTTGGCCGACATCAGAGGAGTTACTCCAGAGTCAAATTGAGTTCATCTGGATCAGAACCTACATTCCATCTACATCCCTCTCTTGTGAGCACTTTAGAATACCCTTGCTAAATTCGTCTGGTGCCAAGGTGGCATTTTTCTTTGCTGGCCAAGTAAAAGAGTAAGGCAGCAAGAGCAGGTGAGCTGCTTTGAGTGGTTCTGCCACGGGGCATTAATGTGAGTTGTTCCACCCACCCCTCTGGCATGTGGGCACTCTCACAAGTCTACTGTCGGGTTCCTTCCAGGTACCCTGAGAGGCTAAGCCGCCGCCTCCGATGCGGTGCATCCCAGCAGCGGGGTTGTCTCATCCCGCAGGGCATGAGGGGTTAACAGGTGGGTCCAGGCGAAGCCCCGTCCCGCTGGGCAGCGGCCTGGCGCTGCGGGGTGCAGGCGAGGCTCGGCGAGGGAAGAGGGGGGTTGCCCCCTCCTCCAGCG